GGAATGGTCTCCCATATTTCATAAAACTTAAAGGCTTTTGGCAACTTGAACTACAGTTTGTTGTGCAAAAGTTAGAATACTTGAAAATATGCTTTCAAATACTATCATTTTCTATGGAAAAAGCAAATGTTAGCCCTCTTAGAAATATTCCCAAAAGCAGGACTTAGGAAACATTCTAATTTTAGATATCTTAGTAAGAATAACTTGGGGGGAGTCATTTTGGGCCTAGTCATTCTTAATTTAAAATCCCATTACTTTGATACCTAAGGGTAGAAGAAGATGGATTTAGGCACCAAGCAATTAAAACGGTGGTGCTAAATTCCTAGCACATTCTTTACATGGATGGTGACAAGTGTGCATTTGTAAGGAGGATATTGTAAGGGTTTTTTAATTCTCATTGGGTTAATATGAATGAAAGAATGAATATGCAAGACCGCATAGATGCTGATTCTTGTCTTTCCACCCTCAAGTATTCAGAATATTCTGTAAATTGGTGTGTTCAAACTTTGTGCTCAGATTCCCATCTATATTCTATCCCAGAAGTCTGTATGATATTTGAAGTTTGTTTTGTTCTCTTGGTTTTGGGGTTTGGTTTTGGTTTTCTCTTGTTTTAATATGTAATCAAAACATATGGGTCCCTATGGCAACCAGAGCACCTAAGTTAACACTTGCCACTGAGGTTATTAATTACATCTTTTCATGATGAAATACCTGGTCTTACAACAGAGATGATATTTGAATTCAGGATTTAAAAGCCTGGAGGCTCATTATAAGCTGGTATGATGAATTTCCAGCGCTGGGTTGTGTTATACAGAAGAGCTGTAACTGTTGCCAGCTAAGAAGGTCCATTGTCTCATCTTTACAAGTGTGAATTACAGCAAAGCAGGTATTTTGAGCAGTTCAGGGCATCTGAAGCCCTGCCTGGTTTGTATTGCTCCCAGTGGCATATTCACATTACGTCTCTGGGTTGTGTTGCTTCTGCCTTAGTTATTTTTATTGCTAATAAGCCCCACAGACCTTTGAGGGCTGGAAGTTTCTACATATGAAGAGTGTGATGTAGTGTGATGGGTATTGCTTTCAGTGCTCCTTTTTTTGCCTTCCAGCTTCTAGACTCCAGGCTTTAGATCTGTTACTCTTGTGTTTTGTTATGGGGTTTTTTGAGAGCCCAGTCATATAACACCCTACACAGTTAAATCATATGTTTTACAGTGGAATTGCAACAGCTAGAGAGAAACTTACTGACAAATGTATAAAATTGTACAGTCCTATGAAGCCTTATCATGGTATCAGATAGGCAAATAAGGTTAGTGGTTAGTGTTTGAAACAAGACTTTGGATAATAAAGAACCATTCTATGTGCAGTAACCTTCCTCTCTCCAATTGATGTACAAATATGATCGGCTTCCTTCAAAAGTCCAACGTGGTGGTAGTGTTTTCACCTTGTCCTCTAAACCTCCAGCTGAAGTAGAGCACCCACAGAGACCAAGACCAAATGCTTTCCTATTACCTAGGATATGTAGGAGAATAAAAGCTCTTCCCATGCAGATGCATTGTTCTGAAGCGTGGTATTACACTCAAACAGGTATTTTCCTTTTGTCTACCTCTGTTATTCCCCAGTAAAATGTAAAAATCTATTTTTCTAAACTATTCATTGAGTTCTTGAGGCATTTATAAGTCTATGGAGAGGTTAATGCAGCTGGGACTTTCTTTTCAGCACATACATTGAGACCAAATTCTTTTGATGTTGCCCTGTTTTTTAAATGGTGCCGAGTTTTATAAATCTGAACCCGAATTAAACATTTTCACTAAATACTATTTTAAAGTATGATTATGGGAACCTTGTAGTATAGAACAGTGATGGTTAATACCAAACTGTAACAAACCTGAAGCTGAACAAGCAGAGTTGCTTTTTAAACTTACATTTTTCTGACTGAGCAGCAGCAGAAATTCATTGGGAAGAAGTGAAAATCCCAATGCAATTTTCCCTATGTGTATTCCTTAATTAAAAGTGCTTTCTAATGACTTGCCTTGCTCACGAGAAAGGACAAAATCAATCCTTTTGCTTAGTTTCTCCTTTTCCTTAGGCTCCATTCCAGTGTTCCAGTGTACTGCGTCTTCCTTCATCCCAAGGATGATGGTGAGAGCTTCATTTCAAGGCAAGCTGTCTCCTTCCCTCTGTATCCTGCTAACAGTAACTAGCAGCACCTTGGCCCAACTGGGGTTGCTCAGTTTTGAACTACAGAAATGGCTGTTTCTACTAATTCACACAGTGTAAGAAAATGGGATGCGAAGCCACCTCAGTATAACAACAGGGAAAGTATTAACTGATGCTTCAGCATAATTCACCATAGATAATCACTTCCTTCACCATGCCATACAAAATCAGTTGCTTAGCTTCAACATACAGTAGTAGTTTGCTTTCCAGTGCTGTTTAGTGGTTTGCGGGTGAGGGAACTGTACAGTTACAAGTAGGAGAGGAGCATTGAGAAGAGCATGGCCAAGGTAGACAGCTGGAAGCGAGAGGGCACATAAGTTGCAGCGGGTTCTCGAATGTTCGTATCCAGCTGTAAAGAGAGAATTAGTTTCATTTTGCATCAAAATGTTTTTATCTGTTTCTCCTGCTGACTTTTGGAATTGCTTCTTTTTTTTTTAATTGAATTTCAGTCCCTTGTACAACTTCCATTTTGTATAAGGATTGCAATTCACTTAAAATCCTTAGGATGATAAATGCAGTGCATTTTAGCTAGGACATGTCCTCACATTATTCAGTTAAGGCTAACCTCTATTTACAACTCCAGATCCTTAGCTTGAGTCACTTGAGGAAACTTAAAGGTATTGGATGCTCCATAGAAACCCATACTTGCCTTTAAATTTTCCAGGAAAATGAATATTCAAGCCCTGAGTTCTTGCCCTGTGTAACCTAAGTGAATTCTAAATAAACCCCACCATATCTAGAGATGTCCTTTGGATTTTAAAGTCATTTTCTTTCTGAACGTGAGGAAACATACTGCAATATGAGACGTGAATTCTGGACGTTGTCGACTTGTGTTGATTGGACTTGTGTGTATTTTAGTGCTTATTATACAAGGCTTGAAGTCTTTCTGTCGGGAGACTCTGAAAGTTCTGTGTTTATAGGATTACAAACTCTTTTGCAGCAAATCGGGTTGGGTTTTTTGCTCATTCTGTAACATGGAAGCCTTTTGTTAGATTAAACTGGACAAGAAGTTGACTTGGAATTTTTCTGACAGGTTTTTTTTTCTTTCCATAAATGCCTCATTTTCATTTTTCCTTTAGAAAAACCAACATTTAATCGTCCTTGAGTAATATTGGCCTGTGAGAGCATCTGAGAATCCCTGCATTCGTCTTCAATTTTGTTTCTTAAAGGGGTTGTGTTTTATACTACCTTTTTAATAAACAAACTCGTGAACAAAACAAGTCTGTTCTGATGAGTTTGGAGATCATGTATTTGCCTTTTCTCCCTCTCTCAAAGGTACCATTGCAGCTGGTGAACAATTACTTTAGTTTATTAAAGTCTGTGTGTTAACACGCCAGAGCTTCCCAACTGGAGGCCAGTACATGTGTTGCTGAAACTGTAAGTGCTCATGATAGCAGTATCTGAAGGGGGACCTACAAGGATGCTGGAGAGGGATTCTTCATCAGTGACTACAGTGATAGGACAAGGGGTGATGGGTTCAAACTGGAACAGGGGAAGGTCAGGTTAGATATAATGAAGTTCTTTACTGTGAGGATGCTGAGGTGCTGGCACAGGGTGCCCCGAGAAGTGGTAAATGCTCCATCCCTGGCAGTGTTCAAGGCCAGGTTGGACAGAGCCTTGGGTGCCATGGCCTAGTGTGAGGTGTCCCTGCCCATGGCAGGGGGTTGGAACTGGATGATTTTAAGGTCCTTTCCAACCCAAACCAGTCTGGGATTCTATGATGGGACATGGTATTTGTTCCCTCTGTATGGCTTTTTTTCTTCAGTCTGGATTGGTATGTGGATGGACCCTGAATGAAGACAAAAGGAGCAGAAGGACCATCTGCAGACACCGTAGTTACAGGTGGTATTGTGGAATTTGGGTTTTGTTAAGAACAAGCCGAATTTCCAGTTTTGTTCTCAGAAACTTGGATTTTAATGTATTTTCCCCCTCTCAAGGCTGCACACAGAGTGCTTACAAAGCTCTGGAAATCAGTTGGTTTAGCTCCTGTATTACAAAGGAACGGGGCTGATAATCCTGTTTTTGCCCAGTAGTTGTTTGAGGTGTTCACCTACAAGCCATCCAACACACTGGTGCCTTAACTTGTGTGAAACAGATTCATGCAAGGAGTGAATGATGAAGGTGTTGAGGGCACTGTCTCACAGTGGAACTGAGCTTACGCAAAGAGTGTGTCAATAAAAGCATCATCCCAGGATATCTTCCAGCCTTGTGGTTGAGTTGCTCTGGGAGATGGCAGAGGGTGGATTTGTGTGTGCTTAGGCAGAGGGAATAGGGTTGTGCTCTGCTTTCTGGGTGAGTAAACAAACTTAAGCTACTGCATGAAAGACATCAATGTATAAATGTCTCCACCGGTTTGGTGACTCGCAATCCCTGGTTTATTTTTCCATCTGAGACTGGCAAATTTGGCCCTGATTCAGCATTTCCAAGACCTAAGTGGTCTGACAAAAAGCCTGGAGAGGGGCTTTGGGCAAGGGCCTGCAGGGACAGGCCAAGGGGAATGGCTTTAACCTGCCAGAGGGGAGACTGAGATGAGCTCTTAGGCAGAAGCTCTTCCCTGTGAGGGTGCTGAGGCGCTGGCACAGGGTGCCCAGAGAAGCTGTGGCTGCCCCATCCCTGGCAGTGTTCAAGGGCAGGTTGGACACAGGGGCTTGGAGCAAGCTGCTCTAGTGGAAGGGGTCCCTGCCTGTGGCAGGGGCTGGAGCTGGAGGAGCTTTAAGGTCCCTTTTAACACAAACCACTCCATGACTTTATGAATGGTTGCAATTGGGTTACTTTGTTAAACTGCAGAAAATCCCCACACTCTCAATTTCTTGCTACAGCCCTTGCAGAACAAGAAGGATGGTTTTATTTTCTGGCGATTTCTTAAGTCATTTAAGCAGATCCACCAAAGAAGAGAATGAGGATTGGTTATCCAGGGATGGAGACAAGGTGATCTTTTCCTTCTTGTGGACATTTGTAGTTAATATACTGTAACCCGGCACAGGCAAGTCCTTTATGATCCCAGCCAAGGTTGGTTCTCTGCCATAACTTACCATCCTAGTGTAAACTCTTCTGAAGTCCAGACACTGTCTTTATTGTGTACACATTGTCATGAAAAACAACCCCTGCTTACAGTCCTGTTTTCCTCATTCCTGAAACCTCCTAACCCGGTTGACTCGTCGGAGTGCATTTCATGCATTCTTAGCAGATGGGCTGAAGGAAACGCCTAGTTCGCTCGCAGCTAGAGGCTAGAAAGCATGTAAGGAGTTCATGAACGCTGCTTGTCTCCTCTTGCAGTCACTGCAGAGTGCACTCAGCCTGCCGGGGGAAGGATCCCAAACTGCTGGGCACAGCATGAGCATCCCACATCTGGAAAACCCCACTGGTGTGACGCCGCTGCTGACAGCGAGCTAAGGTAGGAGAATCCAGTGATCATTTCAGCTTGTGTTCACTGACTTTCTCAAATGATACTTGAGGAAAGCGAATGTCTGTTTGTTAAGTGATTGCTCAATACTTTGGAAGTGGAACGTTTCTGTGTTTTATTTATGCCCATCCCTGGCAGTGCTCAAGGCCAGGCTGGACACAGGGGCTTGGAACAAGCTGCTCTAGTGGAAGGTGTCCCTGCCCGTGGCAGGGGTTGGAGCTGGAGGAGCTTTAAGGTTCTTTCAACCCAAACCAGTCTGTGGTTCTGTAATTCAGTTTTAAAGCTCTTCTGAGCTGTGTGAAATGAGGAGCTGAGTTCCCTGTCTGATGCTGCAGTGATGGGAAATTACTATTGCTAGCAAGGCTGAGGAACTCCCAACTCGCACACATGGAACAGCTGCTACACAGCAATAAACAGCACTGCAGCAGCTTACAGTTAATGCCACAAGCAAGTTAAGCATGTTAATAAAGTGGTACAAAGACCAAATAGCTGCCTTGCACTGAGTGAGGAACAGGGAAAATAGACCTCTGGGCCACAGCTAATGCTTCCTAAAGTTTATATTGCTGTGGAGCAGTGGAGCAGCATAGGAAGAGCTGGGTTGCTCCTTGCTGTTGAGGTGGCCTCATGTACTGTTTCTTAGGCTGTATGGTCCCTGATGACTTTGCCAAGCTTTTATTGCTTGGGTTAGAATTTACAATGGCAAGTGCTGGCCTCCAGTTGAGCAACCAGAGAGTTTCCTAACCTAAACAGTGGCTTGCTTTCTAAAACAAGACTGGAAAAGAGTTTCTCTTCCTGTGCTTGACGTTCTTCCAGTTGTGTTTGGCTGGGATGTGCTAGTTCCTGCTCCCCTCGTGGGCCTTGGGATGGTGCTTGAAGGAAGAAGGGTTTCTGGTTGAAGCTTTCTCTGATTGGTAAAGCTTTGTCAGTTCTAAAGCTCTGAAAGATTGTCTTCTGAATCAGACACCTGTTAGAGCATCCCTTTGCATTTCTAACTGGTGACAAACCTGCGTGCATCCCATCCCCACTACTGTGTCTGAGTGGACCGGAGGCTGGAGCTGAGAAAGGATGCAAGAAGGGTAAAGCAATAGAAATCCTAAAATGAGGACTAAGGAACTATTGAGTTCATCAGAAACTGGTGGTTAATAACAGCGGATTAGTGCTAATTGAGGAAGGGTCCATGAAGGGGGGATAGGTAACAAGCAAAACTAGACCTAGAAGCAAGTGATAAACATGAGCAAGAGGATTGTAGATGAAGGCTTAAGCATAAAAAGGGACATAGATTATGCTGGATAATCTCAATCCTCGTATTTCTGAATGTCTGAGTACTTGGCTTTGCAGCCTGAACAGTCTTTTCGTGCATAAGAAATGCTAAGAGACCATTTGGAGGCAGCCTTTGCAATACTTCGGAGTACCCTTTGAGGCAGGGATGAGCACAAGTTGATTGGGAAGCTTGGGATTGGGGGGGGGGGGGCATGATTAGAAATCAGATAAAGGTATGGGAATAGGTTAAGCAATGCTGCATATTGCAGGATTGGATGGAAACACAACTCCAATGACTCATCAGTTTTTATATGATACAGCTGGGTATTGACCAAAGGTTTCCCAGTTCTCTGAAGCATCACAGCCTCCTCGCTACCAAGGTAAAGCAGTTATGCTGTGTGGTGTGATGAGCTGACAGCAAGACTGGAAAATGGCATGGAAACAGCAGGCACTCCTCCCTGCATTCACAGCCTGAGCACTGCTACACATGATCTTGATTACAGCAGGATGCCTGAGCTCTGGCTGTAGAACTCACTCCCCTATGGCCAGAAACTGCAGAGATGCATATAAACCATGCTTGTCCAGGGCAGGCAGTGATGCTCCTTATCCTGCTCTCACCCTATGTGGCAGCAGAGATTTCATAAGGAGGACAAAAAGGAGTCTTAGAGTCTTAGGCTGGCTTCCTGCAAACTATTTTAGAGTCATTCTTGCCTTAAATCCATAAGCCCTTGTTGAGCTACAGGGTACGTTTCAGCAGTCTGGGTGTGTGGTTTAGCAGTCTTGCTACCGAAGTTTTAAGCAACTGACAGGCCCTACGTGTTCCTCAGGTTGTTTCAAACAAACAAGAGGTTTTGCTTGGTTTGTTTGGGTTTTTTTTACTTGAATTTGCTATAATTTGAATTTCCAATCATAATTTCTGCCTTCTTCTAATAGGTGAAGCAACTACTGTCAGGCATCTTGCTGTGGAAGTCCGTGCTGACAGTGCTCAAGGTACTTTGAACTTTACCTTGTCTGAATAAAATACTCATTAGAGATTACTATTTAAAGCTCTAATGGGTATTTAATGTTTCATTTCACTCTGTCAGTATGGTTTTTGAACAACGCAGAGACAAGAGTTGGGCAAAGCAATCCTCCCAGGGAGGGATCCCAGAGGAAGGAATTCCCCTGGTGGGGGAATCTTCATCAGGGACTGCAGTGATAGGACAAGGGGTGATGGGTTCAAACTGAAAGTTCAGATTACATATAAGGCAGAAGCTCTTCCCTGTGAGGGTGCTGAGGCGCTGGCACAGGGTGCCCAGAGAAGCTGTGGCTGCCCCATCCCTGGCAGTGTTCAAGGGCAGGTTGGACACAGGGGCTTGGAGCAAGCTGCTCTAGTGTGAGGTGTCCCTGCTGGTGGCAGGGGTTGGAGCTGGGTGAGCTTTAAGGTCCCTTCCAACCCATTCTGTGATGCTATAGGTTCACCCTGAACATCCAGGACCAATGCAACCTCTGAATTATTTGTCTGAGTGCTTCAGTTCTTTCAGCACATTTCTATCCTCAGGGCATATTTGCACAGTGCTAGGGCTATAAAGGCAGGGTGAGAAATGACAGCATTTCATTCCTCAATAGAGCCAATGCTATGGCACTGACAGGTAACTCAGACAAGGGTGGGATCCATCAGGCTCTTTGCATCTCTGAGCCATTCACTGCTTTCAAGATGCAGTATCCTTTACTAAGGTTGCATATTGTATGGTTTTATCAAACTTGGATCTCTCCACCAAAAGATCCTGTATTGAACAAGTTAAAGACTCACCGGACTCGTTTTGATTGGGGAAAATGCAATCCCATCACAATTCTGTGAAATTTAGTACATTTTTATTGAAAGGTTTCTCCTTGCATTTTATACTGCAAGTATTCCATCTGAGAAGTGTATAATGAGATCAGTGAAGAAAAAGTGTGTGGAATAAGCAGAAACCCAGATAAAGAATCTCATCTTACTAGTAACAGTTGGTCTGGCCCTACCAGTTTCAAGAGGGAGACGGGCTCACCGCTGATGGTGCACTTTAAGGTGAACAGGATGTCTTTGACTGCTCTGGTTTTCTTTGGCAGGGGCTGGTGGTTACTGAAAATGGAAGAAACAAGGAAGCTCTCTCCAAAGCCGTGTAAAAGCAAAGAACCCGTGAAAACAGAATGGGGCGCTCAGAGCGTTGTGTTTACCTATTTCCAAGGGGATATTAACAGCGTGGTGGACGAACACTTTTCCAGGGCTCTAAGCAATGCCAAGAACCCCCAAGACCTGAGCACGAAGCACAAGGATGAGACTGTTGTCCTGAAGAATGGTGAGCTGCTTTCTATGCCTGAGTGTGGCTTTAGGCAGGGGGGAATTGGCTTTCACTGAGAGTTTAGGACGTAGTGTGCTTACAGTTGGGGCCATGTGCAAACAGAAAGCAAGAAAAGCTTGCAAAGCCCTGGATTATAAAGCTGGGACTTCCTGAGTAAATCCCTGTGTATTCTGGGGTGCTTCCCAGGCTGTTCGTGGGCCCATCGGCAGGACTGGGTCCTCATTTTCCAGCCTAGTGTCTCCATCACTGTCGGATGCACTAAGTGCATGATGACTTTAAATAAACAGATTATGGCAACAAATAATCTTGCAATAGTTAAAAAGCTGCCTATGCCCATGGCCTGTAAGAGAACACATCAAATAGTTATTTGAAAGTACTGGTGGTGGTTTAGTCTGCTTTTAGCATGAGTTTGTGGTTGAATTTGAAGACAAGCAGCACTATGGAGAATATATATTTATGTGAAATGAATATGCAGTTTGGTAGTGTTCCTTTAGAAGGCCGTTGGAATTTGCCTTGGGAGAAAAGTAAGAATTGCTGAGACTTCAGATGCTTTCTTTCTCTTTTAAGTAGATAGCGCATCGCCCCATCAGTGGAATTTCTCTGCACATTGTTCCAAAGCATATCCATCATCTTCTGCACCAAGCGTGTCCAATTCAGGTCTGAGTTTTGCTGCTGCTGCTGGTCTGGCAGGCCAGTACCAGCCACCAGCTCTGCGGAGTCATCCAGCCCAGCCTGCAGACTTATGGCCTTTCCCTTCGATTGGGACTCCCAGTCTCCCCAGTTCTGTGTATCATCATCATGCCTTGCCTGACCTGCATGTGGGAGATGAACCCGTCTCTGACAGGAAATACGGTTCTCTTCTTGGTCTTCTGCAACAGGAAAAGTGCCTAACATCCATGCAGGAATGTCCCATGAAGCAACACTCAAGTTCTGCTTGTATGACTGGACCTGCTAGGTTACAAAATATAAGCCAAAGTTCAGCTCCTGGGGGAGGTAAGGAAATACTATCACTGTGTTCTTTGATGGCATCTTATGGAAGGAGACAAAAGAATACAGGCTGTTGTTCCTCAGGTTCTCAAACTGGAGTCACCTTCAGCCCAGCTCATAGCAATGTTTTGCAATAGATAGGCCAGGATGTGTCCTGTGGTACTTGGGATGGATGAGCTCCATAGTGTGGCTTCATCAGAAACTATGCATTGCCCACTTGCACAATATCCTCCCTCCTGGCTTACATTAGGGAGCTATTTTAAGTGAATATAAACATTATTCACAGTGCTATGAGGATCAGGGAGGGGTGGCCAGGTAAGAGCCTTGAGCAGCCTATTTTACTGTGTATGGTTTGTAGCTGGGAGGATTTGGATGGTGGAGAGGGGCTCTTCATCAGGGACTGTAGTGATAGGACAAGGGGTGATGGGTTCAAACTGAAACAGGGGAAGTTCAGGTTGGTGATAAGGAAGAAGCTCTTCCCTGTGGGGATGCTGAGGCACTGGGTGCCCAGAGAAGCTGTGGCTGCCCCATCCCTGGCAGTGTTCAAGGGCAGGTTGGACACGGGGGCTTGGAGCAAGCTGCTCTAGGGGAAGGTGTCCCTGCCCGTGGCAGGGGTTGGAGCTGGAGGAGCTTTGAGGTCCCTTCCAACACAAACCATTCTGTGATTCTATGACTGGGATAAAGGGGCTTCCTGGTTGGCCTTGCCATGTTTCCCAGTTAATTGCTGCCTGCCATGAAGCACTGCTGCCCTGCTGGCAAAGGCACTGCTTGCCCGCTGCAGTAGATCTCCCCGGGCTAACACAACGCACACAGAAGTGATGATTGTTCCCTGTTTATTACCAACAGCGAGCAGGAACCCCAATCCCAGGTACTGCCAGCACACAGAAGGAAGATGGCTGGTGCCTGAAGTCCATTTCCTGGGATCTTACATCCCTACAGGCTGCTCTGACGGGTAAAATTGCTCCGCTGTGAGTAATATCTGCCTTTGAGAAGCACTTTGGGATCAAGCTTCCTGGAGCCCTGTTAGGGTAGGCCTGCCTTGCTGTTCCTGGGCGTTACCCACACACATAGCTTGGCACAGGCTTCCAAGAAAAAGGGTTGTGAAACTGTTTGGGGAGTCTGCTGGAAAAACACAGCGTGTCCTACCCGGTGCTTCTACATGGAGGGGAGCAAGCAACCCCAAGTCTTAGTGTCTGAACAGCAACCAGCTGTGAAATACCTGCTGCTTGCCCTGTTTCTAATCTGCATCAGCAGGGATTTGGCAGAGCATGGGCTAAAAGCTGTTGTTTCTACCTGCAGGCAGGCTTACCCACAGGTCCTCTTCTGAGGCTACACCAAAGCTCTGGCATTACAAGGACCCCAGCTATAGGTGTTTTGCTCACCCGTTCATCTGGAGTGCCTAATGTCTGTCTGGAATACACATTTGCTGCTCATGGTACATGGGTTTAGCTGAGGCTGGGTGTATGTGTTGCATAGGCTTTTTGCAGCTGGTAAATGACAGTCCAGTTACTTTAAAGAGACTGTTTGGATGTCTAGGGTCTAATTTAAGAACAGGGTTAGGTGCCCTCTTCCCCCAAGGGGGCAATGTGAACCTATTAAGGCTTGGGAGCCCAAGGAACAAACTCTCCTCCAAAGAAGGACATGTTTCATGAAGCCAGTGTTGGGATCAGAAAGGGAAGCAATGCTAACAGGGACTCTATTCATGGAAAAGGAAATGAAACAGCTTGATGTCCCCCAGGCAGCATAGAACCATGGAATGGTTTGGGTTGGAAAGGACCTTAAGATCATCCAGTTCCACCTCCTACCATGGGAGGGATGCCTCACACTCATCAGTTAAAGCCTTTTCCTTCAGGATGCTTCCAGGGCCTTTCTGACCAGTGAAGGAGCCTCTCAGGACATGTGTAACAGCACACATGTGCTTATCCAGGATCCCCAAAGGAACAGATAGGAAACAGCTGGCCCGTGTTCACAGGCAGGCTTTGGCAAGCCCCTGGGATCTGTGCATTTGTCAGGCTGTGGGAGTCCCTGTTTCTTGGCTCTCTCTGTTCAATGCACTTCTCCTTGCACTGTGTCATGTATAAGAACAGCTGATATTTATATTTATGGGAGTGTGGATTGCTGTGCCAGCCAGCACAGGGTTCCCCAGCACCTGCGCTATAGGCTGGGCTGCAAAAGCACAAGGTTGCGTTAGGAACTGCTGTCTGCTGCTAGCCCTGTGCTGCATCGCTGCTCATCTCCAGTGTTTTCTGTCTTTTAAGAGAGGAAAGCAAGCTCTTACCAAGGCTCAGAGAATCCCAGCGGAAGCCACGCCACCGCAGGTGAGTACTGGAGCCAGCAGCACTGCAACAAATCGATGCTCACCTATGAATGATACCTTGCTTATGCATGAAGAATTAAAGGTGCTTCCTTGCTTGCTTCCAGGCTCTATTTCCAAACCTTGTTTTCCCCCAGATAGACAAACCACCTCCTATAACTATGTTGACAGTGAAAAGGGAAAGCATTCTGTTAAATAAGATACATGATTTCTAACCCCACCTACTGTCGTTCTTGTGGCTCTACCATCAATATTCCTCTTCACAATGCCTGTTTTACACCAGCTGTCCCAGTTTCAGATCCCAGAAAGACAGGACACCCCTTGCAGTGTATCTCAAGCACCCAGTTTCAGGCTGAGGTCCCTGTTGGACCTGTGTGCTCCTGTTACTGCAGCTTTCACCAGCAAACCCACCACTGCTGGGAGAGCTGGTCAAAGAAATGACTTCCAAAGTGTTCAGACTTCCATGTATTTCTCTGTTCAGACCGTGTGTCCTGGACAAACTGAACACAGTTACACCCTGGTGTTGGTTCTTTGCTGTGCAGTATCCAGGGGGTACTTGGGAGGGCTCATCCTGGTTGTTCTCCTAAGGGCCACCTTGCATCAGACCCAAAGATGCGATTTTGTTTGCGCCAGCTCTGCAGAGATTGCAAGCCTGTGTTTGACCGCCCTGATCCTGCTGTGTCTTTCAGGCATTCAGATCCACGACAGAAGAAGAGATTTGTACTTTTAGCCACTGGAGGGTTCTCCTTCATTCTGAACGAGGAAGTTCTTGCTGTGAACTCTTACTATTTGCAACTGTGAACCAAGAAGGGAACTGCAGCTATTCCGTGCTCTCTCTGTTGGAAGGATACACATGCTATTTACTAGTTGAGGAGTGAAGAATCAACCTTTTCTATACAGTAAATAATTTCTAATAGCTGTGGGATTAAACCTGACTTTGTTGTGAAGAAATATTGTCTACTGAAGGCTTTTCATGTAGCCCTCCTGAAAAGACTCTTAGCACTTCTTAATCCATGTATTCACTTACCATCTCTTGATAAGAATCACAGTTCTTATCAGTGCAGTTTCTAACTGGTAAGTGCAGGGATGCAGTTTGAATTTGCATATGCAGATGAACATGACATATATATATATATATGAATATGCAGATGAATTTGGCATAAATTCAGTGCTACAGGTTCTCAGCTTGATTTGATACCTCCGTATCATTTTAAATAGTCTTAGGCCAGGGGCAAGAGACTTCCAGACAACCACGGGTCATGCTTATGGTTTGGAAGTACACTGATTTGTAACCATACTTGCAATTCATAGGGGCATTCTTCAGAAACTATATAATGTGCATATGCCCAAAGGCTCTGTTTTGCCTTCTTATAATGTATCCTCTAGAAAACAGTGATTTAACACTAAATCTGGGAGGAAATTTGGATCCTTATTAGGTGCAATTAGAATACCCTTGAGCAAAAGCTGGAGGGGGGAATGTTCTATTTTCCCAACCTCTCTGCAGGCTTAAGAGCTTCTGACCAAGCAAAAATCAATTCCTCCATGGTAGCTGCATCCCACAGACCTCAGAGGGGCTGAATGTGGGTTCCATGCAGTGGCATCCATGAACCGTGCATTGATCCTGCACGTTCAGATCCCCTCCTTGCTTCACCACTCGCCCTTGGCAACTACATCTGCTGAAGCTGCTGGGAGTCAAACGTCCTGTGACGGGTGTTCAGGTCTGTGTATGTTCAGGTATGCACTGAAGAGAGACTGCTCAGCCTTTGTTGTGAATCCTAAGGATAAAGATTTGGGTTTCAATTTTCCTTATCCATTAGCTAGACATTAATAGACGCATGACAGACATAGACATTAAAGGAGCATGATAAACTTATCCTGCCAGTTCTATGCAGTTGCTTAAGGAAATTTGACCTTTGAGATCTTAGGCTTGTGATCTGGGAGGACAAATCTACCTGGTAGAAGTGTGGCTGTTTACACCAGATACATGCTGCTGCTGGTCTGCATCAGTTATAGCACCTTGCGTAAGTTTATAAATCACTGGAGCGCAATAACTTTTGGTGCTGTTGGTACTGATTTAAAAGAAAGGATTGCTTAAATCCCGGTTTGTAAGTGCATACATGAGCCAGAGCCACCTGAGGCCACGTGTGAAGGGGGCTATTTTAACCAAAACCAAGACCGGGTAGACTACCATCATGTCTCCCTATGGGTGAGCACCAGCAAGTCACTTGTTTGTAATAGTTCCATAAAATTGCCATTCTTCTCTTTTAAGTTTAGGAATATCTCTCCAAACAGTTTTCTTTTGTCAGCCCAAATCACTTCATCCCTTGATTTTTAAGGCTACGTGGTAATATAATGGGAGGAATCAAAGCTTTCCAAACTGTGCTCTGTGTATCTGTTTTATCGGTGTGTGTTGTAATTCCAGTGAAGTTAATGCTTCCAACCAGTGAAATATTATTTTGTCTCCCTCTGCCATTTTTCTTCATGGAAAATGTTTAAATCATTTCTCTCTAAGGTCTGAAAAGCCATATAACACTACCTAAAACTCCCTGATCTCTTCATCAGGGGCTGTAGCGATAGGACACAGGGTAATGGGTTCAAACTGAAACAGGGGAATTTCAGGCTGGAGATAAGGAAGTTCAGGTTGTTCCCTGGCAGTGTTCAAGGCAAGGTTGGATGGGGCTTGGAGCAACCTGCTCTAGTGGAAGGTGTTGGGGTTGGAACTGGATGAGCTTTAAGGTCCTTTACAACCCAACCAGTCTGGGATTTGGTGATTTAAATCTCCTTAAAATGTAGTGCTTTTTGGAACAGTTTGGTCCTGTGCGTGTCACCGCTGGGGACGCTGAAGGTGACAGAGCCAGTGTTCATGGTGAATCAACCAGGTGGAATTGTACAGTACCGGGTGGGAAACCCCTTGTTTTTAAATGCAAGGACACAAACCATCAATGACTCTACCTTGACATGGCAATGCTTTGAGCCATTGCTGCAGGGTTTGGCAATGCCACGTCTTCACCATCCAGCTGGGCAGCAAGTGCCCGTGCAGCCCCCAAAGGCCGGTGTCCTGTCCTGGTCCCCATCATCATCAGCTCCATGAGCTCTGCTCCAGGCTGGACACCGGGTGCTTGCTGATAGAAGAATGAGGACCTTGGGGACAGAGGCTTTGCTGCTCCAGCATTTTATCTTACACCACTGCAGCAACACGCACCGGAGCGTAGCTGGGTTTGTAGGCATCCGACTCTTCCGCAATAAACAGGGTTGGCAATTTCCCTTTAACAATGTAGTGTGAATAGAGGTTTGGACGTTTCACAGCAGTTCCTTACAGCAGTAAGCCTTTCAATATGCCTGTATATAATATATATGTAAAATACAGATTCCTCTCCCACGTTGTTTGCCCGGAGTGGAGCGTTTCTTTTTGCCCTCAGGCCAGCGCTGCGTTCCCGATGCTGCCGCACTGCCGTCACGCTCCCGGTGTCTTCATTCCCATTCAGTTCCTGTGCTCCTCTGCTCAGAAGGACTTGGCAGGCAGCACGCTGCACTCAGCAGCTGCCAGCTGGTCCTTCCCACGCTGATTTTCAGTTCCTGCTCGGAATGCAGCAGTCGTGGTGGTGACGGGAGGAGAAGGGATGCGGGATGTACCCATTGGAGCAGCATCTGACTCCCCGGCCACTCTGCTGAGCTCTGAAGAACAGGAGGACAAACATGGTTGGGATGTTACATTTCCTGGTAATTTACTGTGGGAAATCACTGTTTGCCTTCATCCACTGCCTTCATCACTGTTTGCCTTCATTGGGTACCACTTCTGAAGCTCTAGTCCAGGAATAACTTCTTTGCAGAGATGGGTTTTCCCTTATCTTTTCCTGATGGGCAGATGAGATACAGACTGCATCCTCCATGAGCCCCGTTCAGAGATGAACACAGATTAAACCCCTCCAGGGCTTCACATGCCTTCCCTGTGAGGAGGCTGGGGCTTGTTTGAGTAAGCCACAGGAACTGTTGCACATGTCTTCACCATGCATAGCCCAGGACACAGCTGGGTCACGTTTGCAGGCACCTTGCTTTGTCTTCTCACGTGGGATGGCCCTGGTCCAGCTCCTCCTCTGATGGTCAGATAAACATTGTGGGTGGCTGGGAGCAGTGGGGCTGGCTGAGCTACTCCACCCCAGTTTAGTCACTTGTTGCTAGCGTTAAAAATAGTCCTGGGTTGTGGTGACAAACAAGAGACGTTCTCTTGCTGTTAAAGAACACTTTAATTCCATCTCTGTTAAGGTGTCGATTGATTTCATAGAATCGTGGAATGGTTTGGGTTAGAAAACCTTAAGATCATCCAGTTCCAACCTGCTGCCATGGGCAGGGACGCCTCACACTAAACCATGGCACCCAAGGCTCTGTCCTACCTGGCCTTGAACACTGCCAGGTTTGGAGCATTCACCTCCATTGGTATTTATGACTGTGCTGTGGTTTCTCAGCCTCTCTTCTGGCAGGCTCTGGCAAGCAGGACAGTGCTGCTCCTGTCTGTGTGAGGGGCTCAGAGGCATGCAGCGAGGCTGAGATCTGCCCGTGGCGTGTCAGCACTGGTGAGTTTGCAGAGGTTTGAACTGAAGGTGGGTTCTGCAGTACTGCAAAGGGCAGAAGCAGCAGTGATGTTTGCACAGGTCCAAACTCCTTATTTTTACATCCAGAATCTCGGCAGTGATTCATGGGGGGAGACCTGAGAGCAGCTCCAGTGCCTAAAGGGGCTGCAGGAAACCTGGAAAGGGGCCTGGGACAAGGGCCTGTAGGGACAGGCCAAGGGGAATGGCTTTAACCTGCCAGAGGGGAGACTGAGATGAGCTCTTAGGCAGAAGCTCTTCCCTGTGAGGGTGCTGAGGCGCTGGCACAGGGTGCCCAGAGAAGCTGTGGCTGCCCCATCCCTGGCAGTGTTCAAGGGCAGGTTGGACACAGGGGCTTGGAGCAAGCTGCTCGAGTGGAAGGGGTCCCTGCCCGTGGCAGGGGTTGGAGCTGGAGGAGCTTTGAGGTCCCTTCCCACCCAAATCAGGCTCGGATTTCAGCAAAAACTGGGTGCAAAGCGGTGGTTTTGGTGCCTCGGTTGCTGGGAGGAGGATGCTCTCACTTCAGCATCACACACTGTGTAAGAGGGCTGCGTGTTACCGCACTGGCAGTATTGCTGTGCAAGCACCCTGTTTGTGGTCGCATCATGCAGATCACCATTTCTTTGCTGAGGGGGTGCAGAAGCAGCTGAGGGCTGTGAAGTGAGTGCTGGGCTGCAGCGTGGGGCCATGGGGCTCTCTGGGCCAGCTCAGAGGATGCTCTCGGGTGTCTGGAGCCATAATGGAGCGACCCCAGCTGTCTGTAAACCAGCTTGTACATTGTGCTCCCCAAAACATGGTCCAACAAGAGTCCCTCTGAGCACCATGAGCTCCTCAGCATCCACGCTGCTGATTCACCCTGCCCTCACAGCCTGGTTTCCAGGCAGGGGTTAAGCTGGGTGCAGCACTTCCAGTGAGCAAGGCTGGCCCTGCAAAGCCCTTGCACCTCCAAAGGTGGCTGCTTCCCCAGCCTCCATCCTCACCTCTGTACCCCCATCACCCCAGCCTGCGCTTTGCAGGCTCTGGGTTTGAGTCTGAGCAAAGCAGTTTCCCATCCCTCTTTCTCCACGTGGCAGATGCTGGGTACAGCACAGGGCTAGGTATTAGGAAGGTAAGTATTATATAAGTATATATGTGTGTGTGTGTGTGTATATATATATATTTACATATATACACCTGTACTTATGTAAGTACAGGTAAGTATTGGGAAGCAGGTCTTGATACTGGAATACAACAGTATTTCAGCCCCTACTTACTGCCTTTCCACCTGAGACAGGGATAAAGCAACAGTTTCTATGCTCTGCAATGTAAATCACTCCATTAGCTCCCAATGCTGTGTATTTAGCAGAGGGAAGTGTCACTTTAGGTAAATCCATCTGCCAAGTGAAAAACCAAATGGGAGAGGATGGAAGGAAACTGAATGTACTGAACATGCAAAGGGCATCTCTGGTAACTGAGCACAGCCTGAAATAATCCTGTCCTGGCTGCCTGGCACACATTGCTTCCCTGTGTCTGGAAAAGCACCCCCACATTGCACAGGCTTCATCTGTTACCCTGTGTTTGTAGAGTCAGAGATCACAGAATCCCAGCCTGGTTTGGGTTGGAAGGGGCCTTAAAGCTCATCCAGTTCCAACCCCTGCCACAGGCAGGGACATCTTCCACTAGGGCAGCTTGCTCCAAGCCTGTCCAACCTGACATTGAACCCAAGATGATCCAAGTCTTGCAGATACCACTGAATGATGTGGTCAGAGGACAGCCCTTTGCTTTGACCTTGCAGAAGATCAATCCTTCCTTGGTCTTTAAACATGAGTTCCCATGAAGGCCTTGAAAGTCTGTTTGTCTCTAAGGTTTGTGGACCCCATGCAGTCGCTGGCCCCACAGAGCAGCCCTCACATCTCAGTAGGTCTGGTTGTAGCTCTGGAAACCAAGACCTCCAGGTTTGTGTGGGTTGTGAAGCAGTATGGACTAAAGCAGGAAAGCCAGGCTCTCAGGAAGGCATGAGGAACGGCAGTGCTTCTTGTGAGCTACCCAAATACCATCAAGCCTCAAGCATTAGCTGGGTAAATGATATTTAACAGAAGCTGCCATGTGCAGCTCCACCAGCATGAGGAACGCTGCGTGCAGTCTGGGTCCTCAAATAACTGCAGAGAACACAGGGGCTAATTAAAAATGATGGGCAATTAAGCAAGTCCTCCAGCTGGACTTCTTAATGCTTAAAGAAGGGTTTTTTTTAAGGTAGAA